ATATATATATATGTATATGTATATGTGTATATATATATACATATACATATATATGTACCGTATATATATATATAATAATAATATAAAATTAATTGCTAGTTTCATGTCCCCGCCCTCATCAACTTTTGGAGCCTCATGGAAAAAATTACTATTTGCTATTTTTCAAAAAACATTTATTTTTTCCATGGACAACAAAAATAATGTCTAAAAGAAAGATGTCAAGCATACATTACAAAGATTCATTTTACTTTTTAAGAAAAACTATTTTTACTATTTACCCGCCTGCTTACCATAGGATAGTAAATAGCAGCTAGATTAGTAAATACCCTCACCAAAAAATAATTTCAAATCTAACTAATTAATTTTATTTGGCCTAATAAGAGATGTGACTCACCAGAACGGTTAATAATGACTTGTAATATAAGCCTGTAGTTAATTAGGCAAAATGTTAGTTTACTATACAGTAGTTAGAAAGTCAATCAATCAATCAATCAATCAATCAATCAATCAATCAATCAGAAATAAGTGAACAATAAAAATGTGTATGCAGCTTCGTAATATTGACACGTGACTTGTATCAACTACGGTATGTATCAACGTATTAGATACAGATATTATGTTGTATCTGCCTATTAATTAAGCGCATGGTAAACAGGCTTGTGCTGAGAAGAAGCACTAGAGAATCTTGTACTGTACTGTAATCAAATTCAAGGTGGTTGCACTTTCTGGAAATGGCGGTTGAATGATTTCAGTAAATCGCAATTAATAATCACGAAATGGTAGTATAGTAATAAAAATAATACAACAATAATATGCCTACAACATTGTTGTGGCTGACTGATAAATAGGTCTACATGTGGATGAATGAATGGACAATATGGATGTGCTATTTGTATGAATGCGTGTATTAATCTTGATTGACATTGATTGATAGATAGATAGATAGATAGATGGAAGGATGATTTGATGCAGGGGAGGATTTAGGCTGTCTCTTATACACATCTAGATGTGTATAAGAGACAGTCATAATACATACTCAGGTCAAAAAAAGAAGAAAAAAAGAAAGAAAAAGAAAAAAATGATAGCCCACAACGCCTCAAATGTTATTTTCGGGCGTCTAGAACACAAAAATTTCGCGGGGGACCCCCTAGGTCATTGTTGTCTCCATCGGCCCTAATTTCGGCCCCCCCCCCCTTTTGTACATCTCTGGATCCGCCCCTGTGATGTACTGTACACATAAGCCTAGATAATGATTGGTTGTATTTAATGGATGGAAGATGGATGAATGGGTAGGCCCCCAGTATCCAGGCCTAGTTAATTTTCATCATCTGTTTATATATATGCCAAAATCAATTGTTTCCAATGTATGCAAGCAAACAAATTAATAAGACTTCGTTATAAACATTTTGTATTAGATAGACCTATATGTACATTAAAAGTTGGTCTTATATACAAATGCTTTTACGATAGACAGTAGTATTATTATAATATTTATTTTTTACCAAAATTACTATGCAATTTGATGGAATACATGTTGGTAATTTTATGAAAGCGCACGAACCAGCAGCAATTAACAGCAGACAACGTCTCAAGTGTCAAAACACACAACTAAACGATCACGTCTCTCTGTTAACACTTTAAACAAACTTAAGCCATGGAGCTGTCCTTAAGTCCTTTGAAGCAATGTATTGTGATATATGGCCCCCTTTGTGGCCTGTGGTTTTGAACTTCATGTAAATGCATACAATATGACTTATTGTAAATATTAGATGAACAAAGTACTGCATGCTTCAGATCTGGCCACTCCTTGACGGATCGTGGAAATGCCTGCAGGGAAAATTGAAAATCTTAGTTCAACGACCGAGCTATTGTTTAATTAGAGAGAACGACTGCTTTAAATCTACATAAGTAGAAGATCCAACAATGTCCATTAATAATTGAGTGTTACTATTAATGATGTATGAGTGGAAATCATTTCCAAGTCGATATATATATATTTCAGCAAGATTAATAAAATTAGAGGTCAGAGGTTATATGTACATTCGTTGACGTGATTGATGCATGTAGTCACATGACCATCATCATCATCATCATCTTCATCTTCTTACGCTAACCATGGTCAAGGCACTGACAATTGAACTTCTTCAATGCGTTTGTGGGGCAACGTGCGTGCTTGCTGCAAACGCGTGTATTCCGGGCACTGTTCTGATTGGTCAGTTATTAAGATTGACGCTCCGGTAAGGTCAATTTACTAGAAGTTAATTAAAGCTCTTCCGCTATCAACGAGTATCATCTTCAAGAATGGAACCTTTGCAAGGAGGATCTTATATTCTATGTCGCCGTGACTCCATGAGGATCCATGGATGCATCTCTAGATGTTCGGAAAAGGCACTCTCTGGCAGACTAGTTCTTTAAGCAGTGTTCTCCGACAAAACAATCTTTCCGACGGGTGGTCCTTTGCCCCGGATACCTGTTGACGCGGCTTCACTTGTTATAATATTGACACATTGTTATTTTTACACTTTATGTTTTGCAATGGTTGTTTTTAACAACTGACAAAATATGGGTCCTTTGTAATAAACACTTATGAGTTATTATCTAGCCTATTCAAAGATACTCCAGTCATTGCGTAATCCTCTTCCCTCCCCCCTCCCCCATCCCAAGTGCTGTACACAACCGTCATTTCAAATAAACAGTAAATTTAGTGGATCATCAAACGATTAAAACTGGATTAACTCTGATTTATTAACGGTACGCTCGTTCTCAGTTACGTTTTCTGTGGTAGACTTTCATATGGTGATGTTAACCTTAGGTAAGCACGGTACTGCTCATTGCCAAGGTTAGTTATACTGTTATCTGTTCATTTTTCTATTTTTACATTTTGCTGGATTTCGGTTCTCAAGATCGTCAATGTTGATTCGCTAGACTGAAGGCAGTAACAGTTCGTGTGAGGTCAGCCGTATTGGTGCGTGAAGACAAGACAGCGGTACGGTACAGTAGTTCAGTTAAACTTGAGAATTACTGATGTTCAAGTTCTACCTTGAACCTGTACATCAATTGACGCTGGTGACAAGGAAGCGCACACGATCCGACGGAACGCCTCAAAAGCGTCAAAACTTCCGGTCATGTAACACGTTAACAGCTAAAACATATTCAAGTATAATCAGTGAACGGATTGTCATATACCACGTGTTGCTTGTACTTGGCCCGATATCGTCCACGCGACTTTCACATTTGTCAATTTAGAACGTGCTGACACTGTATGTAGTTATTATTACAGCACCCGTAATTTCCATTTCGGAACATTATAATAGTTAAAGTTACCGTTGACTGAAGGTTTTGACGAAGTAATTGTTTAAATTAAGCGGAAATACGTGTTTTTCATCCGGTGAATAAATATCTTTGTTGAATAATATATGGGAAACTAAGGTATAGTATACATTACAATTTTGTTTACTCTTTCGGTACGAACAAAGTACAGTGACAGTGTCCTAGCATTCACTGGTCTCAGATTTTTTCTATCATGAAGACTATTATAGATCATGGTTCAGACGTTCCTCTATGCCCGCAATTTTTATTTATTTTTTTATTTGTATGTTCTTATTAAGTTAAGTTAGGTCATTAATTTGCGGGTTGCCTAGTTGCCAGTTGTTGTCGCGGTTGTATGAGAATAGTGCTAAGGCAGGTACCATCTGAGAAATGTCGAATTCTCCGGTATTTTGGTTACCGGAACGACAAGTACGTAGAAGGAATAATATTTGACTATGGATATTACTGTATTTCGACACACCGTAGTGCAAGACCCAAGTTTAAGGTTAGGTTCAAGAGCCAGTTCCACCAATCAACGCCTCAGATTGACGTAAAATCGTCTGAACAATATACACGATCATAATACTTTGGTCTAATTTTAATCAAATCAACTTTGCGATCTGTTTAGTGTTTATAAACGTATTGTATTCTGATACACATTGCCGCGATAACTTTATTTTAATCCCTTCTAATGATGACAAAACAAGACGTGCTTTGGCTAGCAACAGCACATCTCATCGATACAATTACGACCAACGTTACGACAAATACATATCGGAAGTAAGTCGGTCCTTGTTGATTGACGGAGCCTAGAAATACATTTGCAACGAATGACGAGAAAATACGAACTGTGCTATTTTTAGACGGTTTCAACAGTTGTAATTTACTGTAGGCCTATATCCGGAAACTGAAACTGTTGTCATATGGCGATTATACAATATAGTGATACAGATGTTATCTATAATAATGCTCATTACACCATACTGTATTTGATACGGTACTGCAGGCATAAACGATCACCGTAATAGCCAAAGGCACACAAATTACAAATCATGATTAAAAAGTGTGTGATCTTGAAATAGTCACACCTCATTGTCATTGTATGTAGGACTACATTGATGAATTAATTGAATATATTAATTGATCTAATTTTCTAAGTCTTAAAGGTCTTTTTTATAGGTCTTTAATATTTCGCTTCTAATTATAGAGTAGGTATAAATATTGCTACCTTATTTTTTACCCAACGAATGGATAGATTATCGTCGGAGATTTTCAGAAACATGATAGCCGAGAAGGAAGTGGTTTATTTTGTTATCACAGTATTAATAAAAGTTAAAAACTGACTTGACCCGTGTTCCTTAATAACGCAATTGCGATAAACGTTTAACAATGATAACAATTGTATTGTAGAAGAATCTAAGAATTACAACCTCTTCCAAGGTATCGGTACACAGTTGGCACCAGTGCAAATCCGTGTTAATCGTAGTGGAATTTTGGATTATTTGTTTCACAGAATCGTCAAAAAATAACTTAGTGCTGTGGAAAGATAGGAGATTACTGAGGAAAGGTACTCACAATAGGCACGTGACGAACTTAACTGTATTCAAAGGGCACGGTTACTCTTCTTTATCTATTGTGTTCTTACAGAGAATATTCTCATGACTCTCGTTATTGTACTATTTAATTGAGCATATATCGTGGTTTTTCTATGGGTTTTATTGTAGCAAATGGAGAGCGAAGCCGTGCGAAACGTTGCATTCCGCATTCTACTACCGACTCATGTGGGCTAACGTTCGTCCGAATGGATAGACCACCATTTTCATTTTTGGCATCCAGATCCAACATTATGTTGCTAAATTTGAAGCGCTTAATCATTGGGGTAGACATTGGGTTTGATCCCCATGGGCGGACCGAGGGTTGAATGTACTGGCTGTTGAAATTTGTGTACTCATGGGGATAACGTTTTATAGCTCCATGGTGTACCATGTTAAAATTCAAGTTGTGATTCATTTATGTTTATTTTATACAAGTGTATCGTAGGCCTACAAATAGTTTGTAATTCATGCGTGATATTTTCTGAACTGAACCAAAATTAAGTAGGTCTACAATTACTCTGGTTGTGTTCGGAACTATTTTCGGGTCTAAATATATAAATATAAGACTTTATTCTTGTGCTTCAGTCAAATAGAGTCTTAAATCCAGTAGGCCTGTGTTCTTCCATGGAAATACCCTTGGGGGGATTTTTGTTTTTTGTTTTTTGGGGGTTTTTTTCCGAATCCATACAGTTCGTACTTGTGTACAGTAGTTGGCAACACACATTTGTGACCATTAGATGATGTGACGCAATATTGTCAAGGTAGATGCATGGTCGTTACGCTACGTCACAACTTAGGCCTATTTACTTTTCAATTAACATTGACTGCTGTCTGTCCCCTGACACGGTCAAGCCATAGGGTCAAACACAGCATTGCCAGTTCTTATTTCATACTACTTAAGTCTTTAGTACTGTAAATGCATTTCATATATTTCATATGTTTTGAGTTCCACGGCAAAAGATTCGATCTATTATATAATAGAATTCATTTTTACAATCGAGTTCTGATAAAAGCATTTCTCTTGGGTCTGATTCGATCCCACGTTTGTTTTTATACCTCCGCGTTTATTGCGGTAAGGTTTTTAGTGTTGTTAGTAAAAATTGATGGTGTTCTCTCCCCAAAGATCCCCTAGTATGTGTGTCTCCAAAGTAAGATTGTCAATATACTGTATACAGAATAATTTAATAACTTTCTCTTTTATTTGTTTTATTATTTCCGGCAATTCAGTGCATTCCTTAAATGTTTTTCTCGCCGTTTGGAAGTATACCAAATTTGACGGAATTAGTATCGTAGTTCTTTTCAAACTCAAACGGTGTTACGTGGGATTAAAAGTGTGAAATAAGGAAATTGCAAGCGATCCGTATTATCACCACAGTGTAGTATATCACCACAGACGCACCACATCCGGTGTCCCATGAATGGTTCAACTTTGCCTTTGTATAACCGTTGCTTTACAATCTTACTTTAAATAAGTGTTGTTTGATGAAAGCTATTATCAAACACGAATCGATGACGCAGTGGAAGTTCTTGATAAACGGTTTAAAGTTGTTTCCAGTATCTGATGTAATAGGTAATCGTAAAGTATTCTAAACGATGAAAACGACGCGCACGACAGGTAGTTTTCCACGCTAAGTAGGACGGTAGGACAACACGCCACGACAGGGGAAACTTTGTTTTGTCGGGGGTTCTTGTTTATATAATTGGACGTCCTACCAAGGTGGGTTTTCGGACGAGTTCACAATTTTATTGAGGTGTTTAGTTTAGGAAGTTACGATTTTGGCACCAATTGTGGATGTTGATAGTAGCCCAAACCCGGCATTCCAGACACGTTATTTTTTAAGCACGCTCACTGCTTTTATCAACAGGTCGTAGCAACAGGTATGTATTGTATGAATTTACTTTGTAGGCCTATAAGTTTGTTAACTTGTATCATCAATGGTCCTGTTCTGTTTATAAAGCTGTATCACGAATTAGAAATACAATTTAGTAGCCTAGTCCTATTTTATTTATAAAATCAACATTGTTAGGCCTATATTATAACTTTATTACTTACCGGTAGCCCTGTAATAAAAATAACGGATAATGTTTACTAAACATACCGGTAGCTCTGTTTTTTTATTCATCAAGAGGTGCGTCAATCATGACAAATAACTTAAATTAAAACTAACATATATATTATAATAAATATATAATGGTTTATTTTTATTGATTTTATGTCGATAATGATGGTAACGTACCACCGTAAGCGACTTAGTTAGGTGACAGCTACAGGTAGTCAATACAGTACAGTAGTGTAATTGTTTCAACAGTGTGTTATCAGGACTGGTAGTACTGTAGGTTGTGCTGACAAGTCTTGACATGCCTACTGTAGGCCTATTTATTGATCGGTTGATAGTTTCGGATAGAAGCGCCAAATATCACCCAGCAACATTTTGTATTGAATTGGTGTCAGTGGTCGGGGTGGGGGCGGGGGTTTCTTCATTGAAACTGTAGTCTTCTGGGGGAACGGTACTATGTTGAGCAATGTCTATGGTCACATGGAGAAAGAATGTAATAATGTCTATAATATTATGATCCTAAAAATATTTAAAACAAAAATTGAACCGACGATATTACGGTACATTGCACATCATAATTTATGTTTTAAAAACCTAAAAAAAAAATCACATTTAATACTTAGGTTATGTAAGGGTCAAGCGATACCAGACATACCGAATACCAAACATGCTTCATTCGGGTATTAATTCATAAAACTAATTCCCTTTGTATGTTTTTTTAAACCCTCGACTTAACTCATTTGAAATCCGTTTCATGAGTGACGACCTTCGCTAGGGATAACTGTCGGTTCCGTCTGATCATAGGGAAACCATGGATTAAATGGAGACATAATGGACTCGATTATCAACCCACGAAACCCAATTAGCAGCATGATCTCCTGTCTATCATTATATTGGTTTTTTAGAACCTCATATTATAAGAATGCACTTTTAGTAGTACCGATATAATAAGGATAAAATTCTCAATTGTACAGTTAATTTAACATAAACGCCCTAAGTAAAGTTCTTGTAATTGTATTTGTCTAAAACAAAGACAATAATTCCGAAAAGTGACAAAAATTTTGAAATTCAACATTTTGATCTATCTGATCATTCATATCAAGAATACTGTAGACCCCTGACCATCAGACATGTTCTGTAAGTGTGGCCAACTCAAAATAAGGTTAATAAATAAATAGATACTGTACTTGTATAGACCTAAATTAAAGAAATAGCATATAGGCCTACACGAGTTAACGTCATGTTGTGCTAGATTGAAGTACAGTACTGTACCTTCCATTCATTGGTCAGTGAGTGCGCGAACGTGTGTACGCGCTGCATCACAACCAATAATGAATAGAAGCCTCTGGAAATTACATTTTAAACATAAATGCATGTTAAATAAAAAATATCTTGGACGTCAATAACTGCGATAATGGAGCTACAATTTTTTTTCTGTATTGTCTCCAGTGCAGATATTAAAAGGAAG